ACTCTGATGTGAGGGCTTTTGTGTGCTGACTCATCTAGTTAAAGTATGTGGGAGGCTAACGTCCCTCTCCATCATTTACACCAGAAATGCCAGGGTTGGCTCACTGCTCCAAAGCGTGGCTCAACACATCTTAAACAACAGGTCATCAGAGACCATGTAGTACCTCTTATTCCAACTACGTTGTCTTTTTTTTTTTTTTTTTCTTTCCCATTTACAGCACAATGCTTCTTTCCTTTTCTCAGTTCCTTTTTCAGACCTATTCAGAGTTTGGTCCCACTAAGGGTGAGTTTAGCAGCTTCGGGAGACAAGAAGTGTGATGCCTACTGCAGTAACCTGCATCCAAACTTACATGTACATGAGCGTCATAAAGTTCCTCCCTGTATCTGATTTCTCCTGACTCAGTGCCTCTCCTGTTTTCCCTAATGACACGTATCTGCCACTGTTCTGATGGCTGATGTTTTTGTGTATCAGGTTTCTCTGGAGCATGGCTTGGAAAAGTGAGCCAGGCAACAACCATGCAACTGGAGCACTGCAAAACCTTTAGTTGGACTCCAGGGGCTTACATATATAAATGAGTGTTTAAATTTTTCCAAAAATCTCACCTGTCCCATGTTTCAGCCTGTGTTTAACAACATGCACAATTTCAGGTTTGAGAGTCTCACACACTATAGTTAGGTCCGGCTGTGTTTTCCCAGATATGGTATTTTTAAGCTTCCCTGTGAAGCATTGCTTGGCTGACTGCTTCTGAAACGGGGGTCACCCTGAAAGAGAAAAGGAAAGCCAGCCCTACTCTGTGCCCAACAAGGATGACCCGAGCAAAGCGGCACAGCTCGTACCGCTCTGCACAGACTTCTCCAAGCTGCAGCACAGCTCCTGCCTGCTTTGTGGGAAACAAAATTTTTGAGCATGTTTTACAACAGATCTACATCTAAAAATAACATGGTTAGACACCTCCCAAGCACACTCAAAATATGGAACTTTAAGCTTCAAAAGCACAGGGATTTCCCACGTGGGCTAGAGAATAGCCTCTGCTAGGGAAGCCCAATAGAAATCTGAGACTGTGATGCTTGTTACAGGCACTGAGCTGTGAATCTTACTGGGAACCTCTTCCTGGTATTTTTGCTTCTATTCAAATGTTCACGTCTGCACAATCCCAGCAACCTTGCTGGCCTCTCGAAATTCCCGTTCCCAGATGTGTTTGGCACAGAAATAAATGAGTACAGGCTCAGAAGAGGAAGGAACATTAGGAATTGACTGCAACATCACTTAAAGGTTTTATTACAAGTTTTTTAACCTCCAGGTAACTCTGACTTATAGCTGGGACTAGAGAGGACTGGAATGATTTCTGCCATTAGCCCAGGACCCCTGCTCCATGCAGAAACCTGCAGCTTCAAATCCAATCCCTTACTTTATCAATCTTTATTTAATTTGCTCTAGATTTTAAAAGGAGCAGCAAGGAAGTTGCTGTCCACGCCTTGCAAGGACAAAGCAGTAGGTGTGAATGTGCCTGTTGGAAACACAAGGGTCCACAGGACAGTAGATGGAAGAGATCCATGTCCCTAATTCCAGCCACAGCTTCTCATCCAGAGATGCATGCTTAGGTGAACATCCCCATGTCAGGAGCCCAAACACTGCCCACAGATGCAGCAGCCGCCTTCTGTGTGGGTACCCTGTGTAGACACACACATTGATGGTTTGTGTTGGTGCCATACACAAACCACCCGTGTAACCTGTCATGGTAGAGCAGCCCCACAACATGGTCCTACAGGCCCCATGGGAAGTACACCCTGAAAAACACACCCTTTAAAGGTTGTGGTCCTACAGGACGTACCGTGTGGGAGAGCAGGTGCCTGTACTGCCTGTACCTCCCATGTACCTCCAAGAGGGATGGAGGAATGGAGATATAGCAGGGCACCTGTGGCCATCGTGAAGCAAGGCAAACAGTAAGCCTAATGACAAGGGAGGAGAGCACCACTTGTTGCTACGGTTTCTAGAAACACTCTCATAAAAACCAGTACTGCAATGAACGAGTGGCATGTAGTGCGGTTCACCTAAGTGGTGGTGGTGCCAGAGTATCTTTGCTCCCGCGGAGCGTCCCTCCCACAGCTGGAAGGGACAAAATTGCTGAAGACCCCTCCATCATTTGTCTCTGATTTTTTTTTTCTTTTTTATGATGATTTATTTTAGGGAGTAGCACTCAAAACTTGGGATTTATTTTGTGGGCTCACATACAGCAGTGTTAGTCCATTGACAGACTTCTCAGGTCAGCACTCGTGCCAACAGTTGCCAGAAAAGGAAACTCCCTTTAGGACAGAAGACTTCCTTCAGGATGAAAAACTGAGTTGTACTGCTGGTTGCTGGCTTATTATTATATGATAAAAATATACCCACATCCTTTAAAAGTTCTGCTATATCAGAATAAGAAGTTGCAGCCTGTTACTGACCCACAGCGAGAAGGTCTGCACCAGCCATGGTGATTTCTAACCTTCCTTGCTGGGAAGGAAATAAGAGCACTGCAGTTCAGCTAAAAGCCCCGTGGGACCAGAGGAGAGAGGTGAGGGAGGACACGGAGGCTGGAGAGGAAGAAGGAGCCCTCCAAGCCCCTTCTGGCCAAGGGCACTTGCAGAGCCTGGGCGACCTACACCGAGTTACTAAAAGGTCGAGGTAGGTGCCAGCATCAGGAAAGCAAACACAAGTACAGGGAAACCCCAGATAATTTTCAAGGCTTTGCTATATAAACATATTAAATATCTTAAAGTAATCCGCTGGCAGAAAGCAAGAAGCTTATTTCTTTTGGTGTGTTTCTTTTAAGATCCCAATCAAACACTTTTTCCGCAGAAAAAACTCAGTGGTAGGTTTGCCTTTTTGCATGCAGTTGGGATTGGGCCGGAGAGGTGACAGCCAACAGATAAGGCCATAATTAATGTCCAGTAAGAAGTAGGAGGGATGAATGTTATCAGCAGTTTCACCTGACTCATGTGATGGGCCGATAATCTACTGAGAACTCCATTGAGGTCTGAAAGCAGCACAGTCCCCAGCTTGGGATAGCTGCTTTCCTCCTGTGCACGGGCAATGTTCCACCCAATCTCACCCCTGCACAGTGAGAAGAAAGCTGATGGAAAATTTACTAATGACTTCGCTGGACCAGGCATCACAATGGGCCTTTGGAAGCACTGTTGACATTGCGTGTAAGGAGAAAACTGGATTTTTAATTTTTAAGTCTGGCTTTTTCTCCCAGCGATGGAGGTAAAAGGTGTGATATGAACTGCTGAATGCTGGAACACAGTCATCTTCTGCCTGCAACTTGGTATCTTGTGAAATGAAAGACACGAGTCTGGTTTATGAATCATGACTTTCAATGAGAAGTGGCATCAACATATTAAATAGGGGTGGACATAAATAAAGTCCATAAAGTACTAAATAAATTAAACAGCAGGAAAATGAGCTCTATTATTTTTTCCCTTGTAGACCAAAATCCCTCCCAGAGGGTCCAAAATATTTTTCAACAAATAAATTACCTTCAAAACGCAACTATAGAAGTCAAAAGCTCTCGCTCTGAACTTTGTCAAGGAAAGAAGTACAAAACAAACCCATATATAATAACAAAAGGCATGAAGGTGCAAATCTGTCAAAGATCAAAACAATGCATTGAATGCCTTTTTTGGTGATGAACAGGAAGAATTCCCTGGTGGTTTTCCCATGGGAAAAGGGATGCTGCAGAGCACCATGGGGGCTGCTGCTGGCCCTGCCCTCTCTGTGGGTCCCTCCTTTGAGGAGGGTGCAGAGATGGTTCCACCATCCCACTGCTTGTTTCCCCCTCCCTGGCACCGCTCTGCTTGTGTTCAAACATGGGGAAGTAGCTAGAAGTTAAGAAATATTACAGTAAACGGTAGAAAAATGTCCAAAAGCGAGATGAAAGCCTGACTGGGCAGTCCAAGTCCCGAGGCCCATTGTCCTGAAACAGCCCAAAGGCTGCCTTAGAGGCCATCTCTGAAAGCAGGAGAAAAGCAATCGGGAAATCAGTAAGTCAAACGTGGTGTTTCAGAAGTTTGTTTTTTGGCAAATCATGGGCCCATGATATTGGATGGGTTGCGAAGCAATATGCTGCTCTGGGGACCAAGCAGATGGGATGAAGGCAGCCCTGCCATGGCCCACCTGGGACAGGACCCACAGGTTGGGAGGGGGTCTGCTCCAGGAGCCTGACCTTCCTCCTTGCACAGGACAGCAACTCTAAAATATCACCTGGGGCACCTGGTTCTGACCCCTGGACAAGCACAGCGCCTGTGGGTCAGGCTGAGATCATACATAAACTCTCCTTTCCTCTCCCGAGTTGTTGTTGTCCCTCTTGGGTTTTTGGTTGTTCTGGGTTTTTTTCCTGATCTTATCACCTTTTCCTATTCCAAACTTCTGCAAAGTGCCTTGTGTAGAAATGAACTACAGCCTCAGCCAGGCTCAGTATTTCACAGTCACATCTTCCACTTTCTGTGGTTATATATTTCTGCAGGTGCATGGTTTGCCCTGTGGTCTCCTGAAGCTTGGAGGTGTCACACCTCCAGCCCTCCTGTCTTACCCATTTCAGAATAAGCATAACCAAAACCTTAAGGCCAGGGAAAAATCGAGGCTGAAAAGATGCACTTGGATAGGAAATATACATGCATATTTTTCAGTGTTCGTTTAAAACCGCCTGGAGATCTGAAATACTCTAATGGCAATGAAATCAGCTGGGGCTGCCAGAGGCACCCGGCAGTGTCCTTTTAATAGATTGTGGGATCACGTAATAGATAAATGATCAATATCTCATGGGAGCCTAGAAACTTATCTCAGGGATATCAAAATATGCATGGCAACATATCTGAATTAAACAAAAGAAAACCCAACCTCTGGGTGAAGCATCAGTTGGAACAATGTTATCAGACCTCACCAGGCAAACACAAGGAGCGTATAAAACGAGCTGCTCCCAGGGAGAGCAGCACCTTTCCTCCACCCGCCTTCCAAGAGCAATGGATCTCAAAGTGGTCTGTGTGCTCTCCGTCATCCTCGTCATAGCCCTCAGCACCTTAGCAGAGGGAAGAACATCACCAAGTAAGTACATTCATCTTCTGTTGCCTTCACAGGTATGTATGCAGGCCTGATCCTACTGACTGTAACTGCAGCAAGAGCATGTCTCCAGTTTATGTATCAGACAGTGAATGTCTTGCTCTGGTACTATTACCAAAGCTAGAGTCTACTTCTTAATTTTTTTCAGAAAAATCTATGGCAAAATAAAAGAGATTGTAGGTGAACTCCTGTGTTGGTGGAATAACCAGGAACCTGCTGCGAAGGCAGAGGGACAGACATGCCCAGGAGCTCGTTAGAACAGGACAAGGACTGGAACAGGAGCTAGCTTTGTCTAAACAGTCTTCTAACATTTATTTTATGCTGCTTTGCCATGTGCATACAATTTCAAAGGAGTCTATCTGCCTCCTCAATAGAAGACAAGTCATTTGGACAACTTAAGAAGTGGAAAGCAAGTAAGTCAATGACAGACACCTAGGGACATCTCAGAATTTCTTGGTTGCAGATGATTGTGCAGTAGACTTAAATGTTAAAAGCATAGCCGCAGCTATTTGCACGTAACCATGTTTTTATAGTCACCTAATGAGAATGCAAAGATTTTGTATCTTTACACCTGTTTGAATATCCACTGGACCTGTAACTCTTTCTTTCTTCACATGAGATGGGCAAAACAACAAACAGTTACTAGCATGACATTTGAAGTTGGGGGGTTTTACCATTTGATGTGGTCTATTTGAAGTCCACAGACCCCACTGTGCTGGGCTGGCTCGGCTGCAAGTGAGACCACAGATTCTCAAAGGGTGGAGAACAACCCTCACTGAAATCAGTGGGAGTTTAAAAGCAGCTTTTAAACCGCACAAGTTCTGGTCTTAGCAAGCGACAGAAGAAGTACGCTTGGCAAAGATGGACAGAGTCTA